CTCTCTCTCTCTCACATTTCTATTTAGTTTAAATAACATAAATGTGATTAAATCTTATGCAGACTCTGACCAACTGTCCGGACAGGGAGACGGCAACAACTATTAATCCACTTTTCGAGACTTTGCATAGATTTGTACCGAATTTCAATGAAATGTCTGAAATGAATGCTTTGAGACAAACATTTGAACAAAAGTGTGGTTCAAGTGAGAGCTCAATAAATACAAATGAATTGAATGTTTGCCCGGAAGAGACATCATTAGCCTCAGTAACTCATGTTGTGGCTAATGATATGATATCGCATTCAAGTGAATCAATTGCCGCTAAACAGTATGTATTAAACAGTACTCCAAATGTTTTGAATGAATAATAATTGAAATGAATTACAGAATAATAGCAGAAAGTGATGAAATGGTCATCTCGTCGACAGTCTCCGTGAATGACACCATTGATGCGAGTGCTGAAGACACTGCCATCGATTACTTGAACATCGGATTCTATGATTACTATAAGACAAATGCCTTAACCGGGTATTTGTCGCATAAGACACACGCTTTTAAAGTAGACAACCTTTGGGTCAATGTTATTGTCTTTCGTGCCGAAGACTACGAGGCGTTTAAGACTTTACTGGTTCTCTTGAATTCACATAGAGTTCAGTGCAATGAAGTGATGGACCAAATGGACTGGCATTTACTGTCACAGCAAATGCGAGACAATAATCACATGAAGTATACGCCAAAAATGTGTAGACAATGTATTTATGGGGCATTGGATTTGTATAAAAAGGTACCGGTATGAATATATATATACCGTATATACAAATATGGATAAAATTTTACATATTTTATAGGCATTGATAAGTTGTCCGAACTTAAGAATCGCAGGTATAGTGAACCCACTGTTTGATTCACTCCATGGATTTGATATGAAGTTCATTATTCCGGTCAACGAATTAAATGAAATTCAAGAATTACGCCAAATGTTTGCACAGAAAGATAAGCCGGGTTCTTTAACATCTCACGAATTTGCGATAAACTATTTGCAAATTGAATTGAATTCATACTTCAAAACAAACACCTGTTCCCTGCATTTGGCGTACAAGACATGCTCTGAAAAAGTGGACAACATTTGGGTTATTGTTATAGTGTTTCGTGAGGGAGAGATACGAGCCGTCAATGATTTGTTGCTATTATTACGCGATCACACACTTAACTGTCAGAAACTAATGATTTCACACGACTGGACAGTTATATCCGATTG